ACAATAGGAGCAGTCGCAAAAGTAATTGATTACATAGTCGGTGGCTTTGACGAGGGCTCGAGTACTACTGCGGTATTATGTGACCTCACTAAGGCCTTCGACTGTGTAAGCATTGATATTATTTTGGAAAAAATGGAGTACTATGGCATAAGGGGAAAGGAACTTGCCTTATTTTTTTCATATCTGACGAACAGATTACAGTGCGTGTTTCTCGATAATATGGAGTCACAATTGGCTCCCATTTTAAGAGGGGTTCCACAGGGATTTGTATTGGACCCTGTTCTATTTCTAATATATATTAATGACTTACCGCGTATCATGAAACACTGTACTAGTGTTATGTTCGCAGATGATACGACTATCCTATCCAAAGATGACACGATCTCGAGCAGAACTTGTTTACCGTCCTCTAATGAATGGTTTGCTGCAAACGATTTAAAGTTAAATAATGTCAAAACTCAAAACGTTACTTTTTCATCTAGTAAAGTCAAAGTAGCTGGGTCAGTAAACCTGCTAGGAGTAATGCTCGATGCCGGTTTAAATTGGTCGCACCATGTAGACAATGTCTGTTCGAAATTGGCGTCCCAAATTTTTGCACTCAGGCAAATATCGAGTTTTTCAGAAAAATCAGTACTAAGAACAGTCTATCATGTAATCATACATAGCCATCTGAATTATGGTGTCATGTTCTGGGGCGGCAGTTATCACTCTCAGAAGGCTTCTATTCTCCAAAAAGCTGCCTTGACGGTGCAGAACTCGACATGCTATTTAAAAGGTACGTGATTCTTCCATTGTCTTGTATGTATATACTGGAATCATTAAAAGAAATTTTTAAAAAACGTAATTCATTGGATTCGAATAATAATTATCATAGCTACAATACAAGGAATGCAGAGAGTCTAGTTCCTTTTAAATCAAGAATTTGCCTGACGCATAATAATAAGTTGGATTTGGCCCTTTATAATCAATTCGTTAAATGTCATAGGGATATCAATACCATTCAGTGGTAGAGTCCCTGCCTGTGGACATAATGGTTCCAGGTTCGAATTCCACCGTTGGCCGGGATTTTTTTATTTAATTAATTTATTTAAAATTAATTCTGATGCCTTGGTAGGATTTCCTACTCGACCACTCATTGTCGGGTTCTGATTAACAGTGCTGTTCCTAAAGTGGCGCTGGGAAACAATAACAAAGCCTGCACAGAAACGAGGCGATATAACCATTAGTAGTTGAAGCCGATGACATCATATAATAATAGTAATAATAATTTGATTTTTTCCTAATCAATCCCCCTTACTCCTCCTATTTGCAATCAGATTTCTTTTAAATCAATAATCTTTGTCCCCTTACAGAGCAATTTCATGATGATATCATGTTTCGTTTTTGACTTATGATTTTTTTTAACTTCCCTTCAACCCCCCATTTTTTATTAGATTTTTTTATAATCGATAGGCTTTATCCTCTTATAAATCTTGATTTTTATTAAAAATGTTAAGTTGATATTTTTTTTCTTTTTTATTTTTTTAAGTTTCCCCCCTGAACCTCCCATTTTAAATCGGATTTTTTTTTATCAATGGTCTTTGTCCCCTTATAGAGCTTGATTTTCCTAAAAATTTCATTTCGATATCATGTTTCGTTTTTGATTTATGATTTTTTTAACCCCCCCTTAAATCCCACACTTTTTTCAATAGGCTTTGTCCACTTATAGAGTTTCATTTTTTTTTTAAAACGTTCAAGTTAATATTGTTTTTCAATTTTGATATGATTTATTTTTAGGTTTCAACCCCTCCCCCTTCCTTAATTCACACATTTTTAATTGTATTTTTTTTAATTAATAGTCTTTGCCCCTTATAGAGCTTGATTTTTCTGAAAATTTCATGTTGATATCATGCTTCGTTTTTGATTTATGATTTTTAAGTTTCAACCCCTCATAAACCACCCATTTTTTATCAAAATTTATTTCTTATTCATTAGACATCGCCAACTTATAAACTTTGATTTTTCTTAATAATTTTAAGTTGTTATTGTTTTTCAATTTTGATTTATGATTTTTTTTTAAATTTCACCCCCCTTCCCCTTAAATCCCTAATTTTTATTCGTTTTTTTTAATCAATAGCCTTTGTCTTCTTATAGAGCTTGATTTTTCTTAAAAACTTCATGTTGTTATCATGTTTCTGTTTTAACTTATGATTTTTTATATTTTAACCCCCCTTAAACCCTCATTGTTTTTTAGATTTTTTCATAATCAACAGACTTTGTTTACTTATAGAGTTTGATTTTTCTTAAAAATATCAGGTTGTTTTTCGTTTCTGATTTATGATTTTTTTGAACACTTTTAACCAGATTGTTTCAAAATCAATATGCTTCGTCCCCTTATAGAGCTTGATTTTTTCTTAAAATTGATTTTTCCTAAAAATTTCAAGTTGATATTGTTTTTCGATTTTGATTTATAATGTTTTTTTAAGTTTCCACCCCCACCCTTATATCCCCCATTTTTAATCAGATTTTTTTTCATAATCAATTTTTCGGTGTCCCCTCATAGAGCTTGATTTATAGACTTTGATTTTTCCTAAAAAAGTTGATATTGTTTTTCAATTTTGATTTATATTTTTTTCAAATCCACCCCCCCTCCCTTTAAAGTTTCAATTTTTATTCGTTTTATTTTAATTAATAGCCTTTGTCTTCTTATAGAGCTTGATTTTTCTAAAAAACTTCATGTTGATATGTTTCGGTTTTGACTTAAAGTTTTTTAAAGTTTTAACTCCCCTTAAACCCCCCATTGTTTATTAGATTTTTTTCATAATCAACACATTTTGTCCACTTATAGAGTTTGATTTTTCTTAAAAATTTCAAGTTGATATTGTTTTTCGTTTTTGATTTACGATTTTTTGAATTTTCAATCCCCTTTAAACGCTCACAAAAAATGACGGACGGACGGACGGACGGCTTCTTGAGAGAAATTTTATAATATACTAAGACTTCTACCAGGCCAACTAAGATTATTAAATCAACTTTAATTTATTTTACAACATTAGCTTCCAAAGCAACGATGCCAAGTCAGTGGACGCTCTAGAATCGAATGGGTATCAAAGAAATCGTATACTTTCTATATACATCAGCGCTGCAAGTGCCTCTGGTAGCAATAGTATTGAACTAAAGTATACGCGAGCCGTATTATTTTCATGCATTTTTTCATCATTTTGGCGTCTCTCAAATATTTTGCCATCACGTTTCTGACGTCATTATAGACCTCTGGAAAAATTTTTAATGGGCACCGTCTTAGAGCGTCTATATACGGACGCTCTAAATACCTGGACGCTCCAATGAATGCGATTTAAGAATGTACGGACGCTCTATCTATAGTAAGATATATATATATATATATATATATATATATATATATATATAAAATGCTAGCGTAGAATATGTGTGTGACCGGTTTTCTTTATCACCACCAACTCCAACAACATCATCATTGGGGTGGTAAACACCCCTTGGGTCCTAGAAGGAAGTAAGGGAGTTTGGGCGCGGTGGGTGGAAATGGGTGGTTGTGGGAGGCAAAAATGTGATAAGATATATATCTGTCCTTTTCTAACTCATTAGAACGTTGGGAAAGTTCTGAAAATTTCTAGAATGATCTAGAAAGTTCAAAAATGTGTAAAATCGGTTATTATCATTCTGGAACGTTCCAGAAAATTCTAAAAATTTCTGGAATGATCTAGAAAGTTCCGAAATTAATAATATTGGTTATTATCATTCTGAAACGATCCAGAAAATTCTAAAAATTTCTGGAATGATCTAGAAAGTTCCGAAATTAATAATATCGGTTATTATTATTCTGAAACGATCCAGAAAATTCTAAAAATTTCTCGAATGATCTAGAAAGTTCCGAAATTAATAATATCTGTCATTATCATTCTGAAAGGATCCAGAAAATTTTAAAAATTTCTGGAATGATCTAGAAAGTTCAAAAATAATAAACCTTATTATCATTCTGAAACGATCCAGAAAATTCTAAAAATTTCTGGAATGATCTAGAAAGTTCAAAAATGTGTAAAATCGGTTATTATCATTCTGGAACGTTCCAGAAAATTCTAAAAATTTCTGGAATGATCTAGAAAGTTCCGAAATTATTAATATTGGTTATTATCATTCTGAAACGTTCCAGAAAATTCTAAAAATTTCTGGAATGATCTAGAAAGTTCCGAAATTAATAATATTGGTTATTATCATTCTGGAACGTTCCAGAAAATTCTAAAAATATCTGGAATGATCTAGAAAGTTTCGAAATTAATAATATATTAATAATATAGGTTATTATCATTCTGAAACGATCCAGAAAATTCTAAAAATTTCTGGAATGATCTAGAAAGTTCCGAAATTATTAATATCGGTTATTATTATTCTGAAACGATCCAGAAAATTCTAAAAATTTCTCGAATGATCTGGAAAGTTCCGAAATTAATAATATCGGTTATTATCATTCTGAAAGGATCCAGAAAATTCTAAAAATTTCTGGAATGATCTAGAAAGTTCAAAAATGTGTAAAATCGGTTATTATCATTCTGGAACGTTCCAGAAAGTTCATAAAAATTCTATAATGATCGAGAAAGGTCCGAAATGTGTATGAGTATTATGATAATCGATCTAAAAGAGCTAAATGTAAGTGATGTGCATCTACATATTCTAGAGTGTTCCAATACTAGAAATTTCTATATGTAATGGTATATAAACCCGAATTCAGTGGCTTTTCGTTAGTTCAATCGTGTCTGCAGTCGAGTGAAGATCAGTGGGAATTAAAAGTGACCAGTGCTTAAAACGATTCACGTGATTTTGACAAGTAAAACAGAACAAACTATTCGAAGATTCTAGAGTGTTCCAATACTTGAAATTTTCATGTTCAATTATTTATAAACCAAAATTTAGTGACTTTGTTAGTGTTATCATCGTAACAAGCAAGAGATCGATTTTGTGTAATTTTATTACATTACATATACACAATGCCAAAACGTAAAAAAGTATTTACAAAACCTAAAGTGAGAGCAAAAAAAATGAAAGAAGCACGTCAAAATGAAACAGAAGAACAATGGGAAAATCGACGTTCGAATAATCGTGAACGTATGAAGAAACTCAGAAAAAATCAAACCGATCAAACTAGATCACGAGGAAGAGTAGAACTTCAGGCGTTTCATTATGATTGTAAAAAGAAATATATTGAACATCCGAATGTGATCATTGGAAAAATGGATACGATATGCAAGTATTGTAATGAACGCAAATTTCAAGGAGAAACTGCTGGTATGTGTTGGTCAAATGGCAAAGTAAATTTACCACCATTGAATATACCGCCACCAGAATTACTCGCATATATGAACGGAGAAACACCAGATTCCAATCATTTTCTACAAAATATACGACGATATAACTGTTGTTTTCAAATGACTTCATTTGGAGCGACTTTACATTAAAAATGTGTCTTCATGTATTTTTTACACCATTAAACATGCGGTGAATATTTTAACCCGTGCAACGCCGGGTTTCGCAGCTAGTAATAATATAAAATGTAAAAAATTTAAAATAATTGTTTCAAATTTAAGAACACAATTTAAAATTGTACATGTATATTCTACGTCTTTCAATTATTGTCATCCCTACAAGTTAACCGATCACGTACGTGGTGTGGATAGAAATATGGCTAAAAATAATTTAAAAAATATTAGGCCATCGGCCTATAGAAAAAAGTGTCTTAATCTGAACATGTCATTCGTAAGATTAGAAGCGATGCAATAAATGCCCATCGGCAAGATAAAGACGACGTGATAGATGTGTTAATTTATAAAAAAAAAACATTCGAATTTTATTCAACAGGTATCGTCGCTTTTGAACATTAAAATTTTTAGCGAAGAACAAATATGCGTAGCTCAAAATTCAGTAAGTGGAGTAATGCATTTCGATGCAACAGGAACGGTGGTACGCAAAGCAAGTAAAAAAAAATATATTACTGTGGAATGGTTGATTTACTCGAACATAGGTTATGTCCAATATTTGAAATGATTTCAAGTAACCAGGATATGTATACCATATTTGAATTATTTATTAAATTCCATCAATTTTGCAAGGAAAGAAAGAGTTGGCCACTATTTAAAATATTTGTTTCTGATTTCAGCTTTGCAACTTTAAATGCCGCTTGCAAAGCGTTTAACAAAATTGAGATTAAGGAGTACCTTATAATATGCTTTGACCATTTAAACGATAAAAAAAACTACCGAGTTCGTTTATCAAATTATTTTTATGTTGTGCCCATTTTGTTAAAAATTTATTCGCACCAATCGAACAGCATTCATGTCAAATATGTGACAAAAAACACAAAATGCAATCAAATCAATGATTGCAATAGCATTTAATATACAAAATTTGAAGGAGGGTGCCGAATGATTCAAAAATGTTACGATAATCATGACATCGCCGCACGTAACAGGTGATTGTAGAAAATCTTTACAATTAATGAATGTACATTATCCCATTATCAGTGAAGAGAACATCTTTCATTCATCGGTAGGAGCTAATATAAATAATGAAATAGAAAATAAATTTAAAAGTTTAAGAAAATCGTCGCCATTTTATATATACTTTAAAAACATTTTTCGAATTAATAACAAAAGTGAAAATTGTTGTCAATGGATTGCTATATAGGATTTTTCCCCCTATGGATCAGCGTTATTACCAAAGAGAGACTGAGTAATGCCTTGGTAGAACGTTGGTTCGGATTTTTAAAGAAATATATTCATTTGGGGTCACGAGATTTAAGAACAATGGTATTCATTAAAAAAGTGAGGGGACACGTCATTAGTGTGAACAATAAAATCTCCCTCGGAATTTCCAAAAATATGTTGGCAAGTGCTTCAAATATAAATAAACATGTAACAAATTTAAAACTAATTAAATATGAAAATGGTGACTTCGAAAGTTCTGATCTTACTAATTCAGGATTATCAGATGAAGAAGAAAACGGGGACGGAAACCCAAATAACATCAATCAAGTTAACGAGCATAAGGAATTAAATAGGGTTATAGGTAAAACATTCTTAGATGTGCTAAACAACAACTTGGTGAATGACACAAGTTACTATTTATAAAATGTTTAAAAATTTAAATTACTGTATTGGTTATTACAATTTCGTGAAAGGGGATAAATTTGTTTCATGTGTAGAATTTAATAACTTTGATTTATTTTAAAAAACTTTTCTGTATATGCGAAATAATCATATTGAAAAAATAGATCCTCTGAATCATCGATTTTGTGGCCTATTTTTGATTTATTTTTTAATTTACGAAGAAGTTTTGTTTTAAAAAAATCTTATTTTAAAAAATACCACATATCGTCACCGTCATATGAAAAGTGTGTAAGTCCACTTTTTTCAGAAATCGAGATTTTAGCGCCGTCTCGTCAAGATCTTCAATATCTACGTCTACTATTAATAATTTGATCTTACGTTGATAGATGGAGCCGCAATAATCGCAAATGAAACGTGCGCATGTCCAACTGTCTCTACGATAGTATGAATTTTGCGTAAGTCCGCGTTTTCAATGCTTGTGTCAACGGTTATTTTGCAGTGTCTGGTTTTTCACAGTTTTCTCTTAAAACACCAAACTTTACTGAAATAATTGGTAAAACTTATTGCAGAATACTTCAGGTGAGTACAGAAATGTATAATAATATGTAAATTAAGTTTGATATGAATATATTGTTAGTTTTTAAGTCCTTTACATTGTAACAGGAGCTAGGCATTTTTCATTGTTTTCTGGGTAGGAGTTACGCATTTAAACATTATATATTGTGTGTATTTTTTTAATTTTTTTGGGAATTTCTAGGACATTTTTATATTTTATAATAATACAAATTACTCCTTAAGCTTTGAACTTTTATACACAAACTATACAGGTATTTACATAAAAAATAAAGCTTTTCCAAAATAATATGTTTTTAAACTAACTTAAACTTGTTAAGGATCTGTATGAATTCACATTTAAATCTTATGATATGAATACAGTTAGTTTTAATATTTATTTTCAATAAAATCGAAAAATTCATACGACTTTTTTTTGCAGAATGAATCATAGTTCAAGAAGTTTTAAAATTTTAACCAAAGTTCTGACAGACAGTAAAATCAATAATTCTAGTACCAAAGAATTGCCTTAAAGTTTAGATCCTGATAACGATAAACACTCAGATAATAATGAATTATCCTTTGCAATCAAAGCTGTGATAAGTATGTAGCAAATGTACTTCAAGTAACCAGTATTAAGTAAATTAATTTCCAAATCTACTTACAATATTAAGTATAAGTATTTTACGAAAGTACTTGAAATATTAAGTAGTTTACTTAAAACAAATAATTCAAGTATAAGTAGCAAGTACATACCTTAAAAATACTTAAAGTAAATTCAATATACTGAAGTAATTTTAAGTACTGAAAATATATTAAAAATACTTAAAGTACTTTTAAAGATTCAGTATTTTGAAATACTAATTACTTAAGTCATGTTTTAAGTATATATTAAATTAAAGATCCCCTCTTAAGTTATCAACTTAAAATTCAAGCTTTGTGTAAATTAATAAAGTATACTACTGTTTCGTTTAAGACATGACCAATAAAAAAGGCCATCCAATATGTTTGTATGTGTATAACATACAATATACAATGTATTCATGGTATTATTTCGATCATAGACATGTATTTCTCCAAATTGAATGCTCTACAAAAGTGTATATTGCGGCGATGTCGTAACTCACATCGGCGAGGTAGTACGAGTCACTAAATCGAATTTTTTCATGAAATTCACGTTATTTCGACCCTATGTCATAATTGAGAAAAGTTACAGAAAAAATGTAAATGACAAAGTTGTAGCATACTTAATTTACTACAAAAAATGTCTTAAGAACCAAATCGCTAAGATCAATATTTGTAGAGATTTCTCGGCATTTGTGGTACTTACATGAACAACTTGCGTGTCAATAGAAAAAAAAAAATAAATATCGTACAGAAAATAAATTCCCAGATAGCTGTCCCGAAGTCAAGTAAACTATTTTTAGTCGCTTATAAAGAAATAACGTCATTATCTCAAAAAAACATAAGCGATTTTATTAATCCAAACTCATTATTTATTTTCGAACAATTTGATCTCCTTCATGATTTTCTGTGTACAGATCCAAGTTCGTGGAAATCAAATTTCGACTATAAACAATGTTATGATACATTTAAAATGTTAAAAATGGTTTACAATACTGCAGGAAGGGGAGTAACACTAGCCGAAAGTTTTAATGAAGTATTGACTCATAACGAAGTTGAGAGACAAACAATTTTTTAAACTATTCGGCATCATCAAAAAGAAATAATTCGTTTGGATTAATAAAATCTTATTACAAGTAGTATTATTAGTACCAGGTATCGATGAACTACAAGTCCGGCATCGGCACACGTTAGAAGTCGTGTGTCGCAAAATTTGATTTATTTGAGCGTGTTTACTGTCACTTTCTGTACTGTTTACTGTCCGGATAATTTGAAATGCGAGTCCTAACTTGTTTGGCGTTGCAGTATTTTTAATAAAATACTTAAAGTAAATATGTAGGTTAAAATAGTTTCAAAAGTACTTTGAAGTATTTTCCATTTAAGTACTTTCTGTTAAAAATTACTTAAGTATTTTCAGAAAAAACTTTAAGTAGATTCTGATTTTCCAGTACATTTTTCAAGTAACAAGTAAATACCACAAAAGCTTTAATTTAAGTACAAGTACAAGTACTTTTTTTCAAATTTAATAAGTACATTTTTAAAAGTATCGTTAGTTCATAAATACTTTAAGTAAAATACTTCAAGTAAAAAAAAATATTGAATATTTATTTCAAGTACGTTTTTGTACTGAGTACCTCAGCTCTGTTTGCAATACAAAATTTACAACAAGAGTGTTTTCAAGTTCAAAGAGCACTAAGTAATGAAAATATTGATCCTAACATAGGTAATGCAAATTTTGTTACCGAACTAATAGGACTTAACAACAGCGACAATTTAGATACCCTAATAGACATAGATTGCCTAAATAATATTTCAATAATTGAAGAACAAGACATAGGAATTGCAAATCACAGTATTATTAGTAAAAATGTTATTCCAAAAAAAGATTTAAAATGTAATAACTATCCAAGTACAAAATCAACTGATATAGGACAAGTAACCCAAAACGAAGATAACTCAGATAAAGATTGGATTGAAAGCCTAGAAGAAAATTGCCAAAATACTTCAGAATGCGATAAAACTGGTAACAATAAGACAGACGAAAATGACGTTAGCTTTGGAGATAATACAGAGGAGATCAATAAAACTAAAAACAACTCAGAGGAAGAAGACAATATTGATCAAACAAATAAAAAACGGAAACGTAAAAAAAACAGATTAAGCGATAGTAACGACTGGGAATACAATAGTAATAAGAAGAAAAGAGAAAAAGGAGAAATATATTTGGGAAGAAACGACAATAAGTTTACGGTAAAAAAATGCATAAGACAAATTAAAAATCTTTGTTTATGTTCAGAAGAAAAAAGGAATGCATTTGCATGTTATAAAATTAGCGAAGAAGAAAGGCAACTAATTTTTAAAGAATTCTGGAATTTTTCTTGGAAAGAAAAACAGGTCTATGTTTTAGCAAGAATGATGGCAACAGAAACTAAAAGAGCGAGAAACAGAAAAGATGACAGTATAAGCCGAAGAACTGCATCCTGCAATTATTTTTTAAACACGAAAAAAAAAAGAGTTAGGGTATGTAAAACAATGTTTTGCAACACTCTTGGAATGTCCTTAAGGACCTATCACTCTTTGGATTCAAAAAGACCTTTATTCAACAAAAAACTGCCATAGTACAGAAACCGACACTAATTTAACAAAAGACCTGATGAAGAGCCTGAAAACCCTGCAGAATTTAAGAATCAAAGAAGACTTGAGAAAAAATTATCGATCAAAGAATTTTTAAACTGTCTACCAAAATTAGAGTCACACTATTGCCGTAAATCAACCTCCAAATTATATTTAGAACCTCGATGGAGAAACAAATCTGAGCTCTACACTATTTATAAGGATACCTGGTGTAAAGAAAACAAAATGTTTTTGAAGAAATGCATTTATCACTTTTTTCGCCGAAGAAGGACGAATGTAATATTTGCGCAGCTTACAAAACAAAGAACATTTCCGAAGAAATCTACAAACAGCATGTTTTGAAAAAGGAAGAAGCTCGTGACGAAAAAGAAAAGGACAAAGGATCATCTGATAAAGTTTTTACAATGGACTTACAATCGGTGCTCCTCAGCCCAAAGTCGAACGTTTCTGCATTATATTATAAAACAAAGTTAATTGTCCATAATTTTACCATCTTTGACTTACATTCAAAGGACGGGTATTGCTTTCTATGGCATGAGGGGGAAGGTGAGCTAAAAGCAAATTGTTTCGCTTCAATTATTTGTAATTTTTTAAGTTTAAAAATTTTGCCCACTATTAATACAGATAATAAACCTAATATAATACTTTATAGTGACGGGTGCGGTGCACAAAATCGCAACTCCATTTTGGCTAATGCTCTGTTAAATTAAACTTCGCGCTTCAGAATAATGTATGTATTATTCAAAAGTACTTAGAGAAGGGCCATACGAAAATGGAGTGCGATTCTATGCATTCCTCTATTGAAAGGAAAATTTCTGGTAGAGTTATAAACGTACCAGCAGATTATGTGTATTACGCAAAAACTGCCAGAAAAACACCAAAACCCTATGAAGTTCAATATCTACAATATATTCATTTTAAAGATTTCTCTAAGCTTCATTTTTTTAGTTCGATCCGCCCTGGACATAAAGTAGGCGATCCTATAGTTTAGGACCTAAGAGCACTTAAATATAAACCTGAAGGATCGATTGAATTTAAACTGCGATATTCTAAAAACTTTCAAACGTTACCAATCAGATTTAACAAAAACTTAAAATTTACAGCAATAAAAAATCTTCCCAATTTATACCAAGACAAATTAAAAATAAAAAAAGAGAAATTTGAGCACTTGCAATCATTAAAAAGTACCATGGAACAAGATTACCATGCAT